GCACACCTCCCACCCCGCCTGCTGCTGCAGAGTGCGCGGGGCTCTGGCGAGCTCTGCCCGCCTGGGGCTGGCCGCCCCTCTGCTGTCCCATTCATTCAAAGCCGCGATTCCTCCAGGTTCTTTGCGCCAAAACTAACTGCCCCGAAGGAGACCCCGAGCGCTGCTGACTCAGTCGCCACCAGCTTCCCCCCCCGAGCTGCGTGAGCTCGCTCAGCCGCCTTCTCTCCCCCCGCACCGCAGCCAAGGGCGAGCTCTGCCCGCCTGGGGCTGGCCGCCCCTCTGCTGTCCCATTCATTCAAAGCCGCGATTCCTCCAGGTTCTTTGCGCCAAAACTAACTGCCCCGAAGGAGACCCCGAGCGCTGCTGACTCAGTCGCCACCAGCTTCCCCCCCCGAGCTGCGTGAGCTCGCTCAGCCGCCTTCTCTCCCCCCGCACCGCAGCCAAGTCCCAACGGGGTTCATTTTACAGCAAATCTCACAGAAAGGCTGATTCCTGGGGCTAAGGCTGTGAGATCTTGACAGTCACAGCAGGGCAACTGCAGGTTCACTTTTGGGGGATGGGAGGGAAGCTCTAGATTCGCCTCTGAAAATCGGGGAGGATTTGTTTTAACGAGATAATATCAAACTTCACTTGTGTAACTCTGTAACTTACAGATGGAGATAAGTTGCTTAACACTAAAAGACTTGATAAGTCCAAGACACACAGGAATTGATCTGGCAGATGAAGATGGGGAAAATGCACAAAAGGTGAGTAAATGGACAGTAGGGCAACACAAATACAGAATTTTGTTGCAAAATGTTTTCTCCCTTGAACTGTACTTTTCCAGGTGTATGGCCTGTGGTAAGTTCTGAGCACATCACAAAATTGTACTGGCATTGTTAGAGATGAATATAACTACTGGTCTGTAACTATTTAAGAATTTAAAACTATTCTTAACAGGACGAGTGTCTAATTCCCATGTACATTTGAAATAAAGTCCAAAGTAGTATGTTTGCCCTCTTGAACACTAAGGCTGTGTCTAGACTACATGCCTCTGTCGCCAGAGGCATGTAGATTAGACACATAGGCAAAGGCAAATGAAGCCGCGATTTAAATGATCGCGGCTTCATTTACATTTACATGGCTGCCGCGCTGAGCCGACAAACAGCTGATCAGCTGTTTGTCCGCTCCATATTTTGTAATCCTTTCCTCAGGTGGCAAACGTGATGTTAATATCCTCTTTAATTAATTCTGACTTAATTCTTGACTATTTCCTTGAAAGGAGAAAAGGGATAGGGGGAAGGGTCTTCAATTAAAATGTAAAAGCCCGGATGTCCCGTTTTCCATTCCCATATTATCAACTTGACAAGTTGGCAGGGACAACTGAGCTGGGAAAGAAGGAAATTAAAATGGCAGGGAGAGGGAAGACTATTACAATATTATATTTTAGTCTTAGGGTACGTCTAAACTACATGGCTCCGTCGACGGAGCCATGTAGTTTAGACGTACCCTAAGACTAAAATATAATATTGTAATAGTCTTCCCTCTCCCTGCCATTTTAATTTCCTTCTTTCCCAGCTCAGTTGTCCCTGCCAACTTGTCAAGTTGATAATATGGGAATGGAAAACGGGACATCCGGGCTTTTACATTTTAATTGAAGACCCTTCCCCCTATCCCTTTTCTCCTTTCAAGGAAATAGTCAAGAATTAAGTCAGAATTAATTAAAGAGGATATTAACATCACGTTTGCCACCTGAGGAAAGGATTACAAAATATGGAGTACACTGAGGGTACATGTACACTGCACGCTTATTTCGGAATAAGCTATTCCAGAAGAAATACTCTGAAATAGCTTATTTTGAAATAGCGCCTCTAAACTATAGGGAAGCCTTGAAATTAGTTGGAGTCAGGCTCCCCTAATGTGGATGCCCTACCTTGATTTAGAGCCCCAGGAAGTACGGGGGAGTAAGTACTTTGAATGGCCCTGGGAAGGAATTATTTCAAAATAGCAAGCAGTGGTGTGTCCACACTACAGCTATTTTAAAATAGAAAATTCAGAAGAGGCGTTATTCCTCGTGGAATGAGGTTTACAGAAGCTGGAATAAGCTGTCCATTATTTTGAATTTTTTTCGAAATAACAATTGCTGTGTAGACACTTACATTGTTATTTCAAAATAACGGCCGTTATTCCAAAATAATGCTGCTGTATAGACACACCCTGAGACACAGTCACATGTGGTTGTGAAAGGATGCAGAAAGTACAGGCTTAGATTAAGCAAGGTAAGACCCAGACAAAATAGTTTGAAACAGGTCCAAGGTGAGTAATGAGGCAGATGCGTTTGAAGATGTGCTTCCCATTTAGTCAGAAGCACATCATTTAAAAATCCCCTTCTGAGGGCATTTCTGCAAGCTTCCTGATGGCTTACTAGAAACTATAGAACGTACATGTTAGGAATTGGTTGTGTGCATTAAGGTTAAAAATCTATGCATTTGCATGTTTTAAAAGAAACTTTAAGGATTAGCAATGCTACTGTTCATCATTCCAGATGGATAGGACAGCTGCATCACAGCAATGGCTAGCATTTGAATAGATCTTAGCTGACAACTTGTCCACTTCACCTTGGTACTCTTAACTTTAATGGAACATTATACTATGTGCACAAAGCTAGCAGACTTCTCATCTGACAGTATAGTCTCATACTGAGACTTAATTGTACAAAAGATACTCCAGTAAAACAAATATAAAGCTATGTGATAGTTATCAAAATAAATGAACAAAACAGGAATAATGTCTCGATATAGCCACTTCACTTTATTTAATAATATGCAAAATTCAAAAATCTTCAGTAAATCCCCAGTAGGTGCAACATAGTGAAACTCTACCCAATTTTTTCACCTCCACTTTAAAAATTAGCAATAGCTATGTGCTACAGTCTTGTGAACTAATACATTAACACACCTAGTCCTGTGAAACTTGCTCATTTCCTATTCCTCTGACAATTTTAATTCCTATTTACATAACAAAAATAGTCCACTTGTCCCACATTCCCCTTGTACTTTCAACCCACCTTCTCTCCTTTGAGGAAGAAGCACCTCAGAATCTCTTCTTTTTGCCTCTTTACCCATACTTTGAATGCATATGGGTAACAGGGCAAATTTGGGTTCTAAGCCTCACAAGGAGCATATGAGACTGGGAGAATGGAAAAAATAAAAAGGGTTTTTTAAGATAAACTGGGAGAGGTGAGTTAGTGAAGAGGAAAAGATTTCAAGAGTAAGTAGAAGGCACATGTTCTGCACCCATTTACAGTGTCAGCCATTACTTATTGCTGCTCAGTGGAATGTTCGTATATCTGTGTGAATGAATGAGAGCTCAGAAGAATTACTTTCAAATAATGTGGTTGCTAGTTGTAAGTATCTGCTTTTGCTATAACTCCATTAGCACCATCCATAATGGAAAAACAACTTTTATATAAAGGTTTTTCCCATTTTAGATTGTGTTGAATCCTTGCCAAATTTGAAATTACAAGAATATATTAAGTGGATTAATTATCCTGAACATGTGTACCAAGAAGCATCAAGGTCCCTACCTTGAATCCTTTTTGTCAGAGATTATTACATCACGGCACTTACCTAAAATTAAAAAAAATTTACATCCTTGTAGATAACCCAATTGGACATTTTAAAATTTTAGTTAATCATTCTGAATGATCTGAGCACATTGCCTTTTTTTGCTCTTGGGATGTCTATCCTCATCCCTAAATAGCAAACTATGGCAGGCTCTCGATTAGGAGCAATGACATCTGGCTAAATCTTTAGCTTTAAAATCCATTTTCGGTATTCCAATGAAATTGGATAAATTAGTGCAGTAATTTAAACAAAATTCCATGATGTTTCTTTGTCAATTATCTATAATTCTTGAGTCACTGAGAATTGAACAGAGCAATAGCTTTTAGTTAAAATTCATATGAAATATTTGCCTTTAGGTAATTGTTCCATCTTGTACACTTTTCTGTGAATGTAAGCCTTGCAGCGCCAACAATGAAAATGAAACTACTATTATAATGCTATCTACCCAAAAGCTTTATTGTGTATGTTTGGTTATGTTTTCAAAAATCATTTTGCAGGGATTTTAAAAACACCAGTAGTGTGAAGTGCAAGAATTTATGTTCCATTCAGGATAAACCCCACGAACACTACTTGACCGAGTAACTATTACAGGGTTTCATTTCTAGTCCTTACAGTTTAAGAAAACTTAACTGTGGTACCAAATGCTTGGCTTATTATAAGAACAGCAACTTGTAAAATATGATATTAATTTCTGGTTATCATTTTACTTTTGTAATCTTACCGCTCACTTCATCTGAGATACTTACAACCAGTATTTCATATTGCTAGCTCAAAAAATTGAGTCATTTGAAAATTGAGTCCATTTGAAAGCCAGAAACTGCCATTTTTAATCCACGTAAAGCATGAGAGAGAAGTTATTACATGGTAATCAGAATGATTCAATGCCTGACGTGATCTCTCGGTGCTAGAAAAAATGTGGTAGCACTTTAGTACCAACAGCTTTCTCCAGGTACTGGCCAGGCCAGGATCAATGCATAAAATGCATAGCTAGATTCGGCTTACTTTACACTGAGTCACCGCAGCATCTACACTGCGGGAGGCTGACAGGAGCTCACGCTCCCTTTGGCTTCCTTACACGTCACAGAATGAGGAATACAGGGCGCTGGTGGGGGCTGCCCTCAGTATTCAGTGTGGGGGTCTACGCTTGACCCGCTAAACTGAATGCTAGAAGATCGACCTCCGAAGGGTTGATCTTCTCCATAGTGTATACAAGCCCTAACAAAAGAAAAATCCAGTGGTAGCTGGCAGGTTCGGTAAACAGATTAGATCCATTGACTTTACATTAACTGTGCTTGTTGTCTGGTCCACTGGGAATGCTCTGTTATAGTAAAGGTAACCCAAGTATGGCAGTCATGTTTTTCTCATTCTCTTCATCTTGCTAGTGTAAGGTGAGAAACCTGTTCAACTAATGAAGTGAGAAAGTATCTATTGTTCAAAAGCAGCTTTTTGCACTAATTAAGGAATAACACTGATGCCTACTTTACTCAGTCGATCTAAATTAGCTGGAAGTTGGTCTGTAACACAACTTTTGTGGTGGGGCAAAGGGACAAAAGGGTAGTCGCTGTCTCAGTCCTGTATAAGAATATATGGTCAGAGGTAGGGAACCTAAGGCCCAGGGCCGGATGCAGCCCGCAGCTTGCTAGGATCCAGCCTTTGAGGCTCAGGGCCCCTCCCCCGGCATTGGGGAGCCCACACTGGTGCTCCAGGCCCCAACCCCACTTCACTGTGGGGTTGGAGCACACAAAATCTACTTGGTTGGGGCAAGGAGGGAATTCTAGTTCTTTCCTGACTTTGAGAAGGAGTCCTATTTAGATTTCCCCCTTCTAGTAGAAGCAGCAGATACTTTAGCAGACACTTTGCTTCAGTTAGGGAAATTTTCCATCTGGTTTGCGTAACGTACAATGAAATGTCAATAAAAATGGCTTTCCACTATGGAGATTCCATATTAGAATGCTGTGGGGTTTTTTTCTCTAAGTGCATTGTAACTAGTGAATTATTTAAGATTCAGTCCAAATTCAGCGGGAAGGCATATAGTTCCAGGGGATAAAATGGATTAATAATTTGGACCAGTTGGTTAACGATTATGACACAGTTGGTTTATATGAAAAGACAGACCAGAGTAGTCTGTCAGACAATGGATTTGATTGATTGGCTTCATCTTAAGCAATTCATGGTGGTCTCTTATCTGCATTGTACTCTCTACACTGATGGTATACACTTTGCTGCATCTCATGCTAATAATAGCCGTGCTAAATATAATAGTGGGATTGTCAGAGCATGGCGGCACTCATTACCTTCATATGAACAATGGCATTGACTTGTGGACTGTGTAGCTCCTCTTCGGCCCTAAGCAATTCTCACTTTTTTTAATAGGAAAACATATTTGAGCAATCCAGAATGACCCCAAAGACCCCAATGAAAAATGAACCAATTGATTTATCAAAGCAAAAGGGCTACACCCCAGAAAGAAATCCAATTACACCTGTTAAGCTTGTTGACAGACCTCTGACAGATCCATGGACTCCCACAGCTAACCTGAAGATGCTTATTAGTGCTGCTAGCCCTGATATGAGGGACAGAGAAAAGAAGAAAGAGCTCTTCAGACCAATTGAGAACAGTGAGCAGAATGATACTTTTCCTGATTCTGTACAGGTAAGAGACTTAAGCTAGAAAGCCTGGACATAATTGACACACAATACCTTCTACTGTTGTAGGCTGATTAGTTAATATGCTATGTTAAATTTTAGTTGTTTTCATCTCCAAAAAGATAACAGAAATAATTACTAGATTTGGTGAAGCAGTGTGATCTACTGCATACAGGACTGGACTGGAACTGAGGAGTCTTAGGTTCTGTTCCAAGCTAGAGATGTAATAGTGTAGTCGATTAACCGAATAACCGATAAGCAAAAGCTTATAGGTTAGTGCTGTAGACTAAACTCATTTCCTTCCCTCCCTGTCCCCTCCATTAATTTTTTAGCAAGTTGGCCAGCAGCTCGGCTCAGTCCTGGCTCACACTGGGTCCAAGACTTACTCACTGCAGCTCTGCATTTAGGCTATGTCTACACTCGCGTCTTCTTGCGCGAGTAATATGCAAATGAGGATAAGCGTTGAATATCGCCGAGCCTCATTTGCATAACTAATGAGCCACCATTTTTGCGGAAGAGGTTCTTGCGCAAGACGGAGCTGTCTACGCTGCCCCTTCTTGCGCAAGAAAAACCTTCTTGCGCAATGCCGTTACACCTATTACTTGAGAGGAAGAACGGCATTGCGCAAGAGGGTTTTTCTTGCGCAAGAAGGGGCAGTGTAGACAGCTCCGTCTTGCGCAAGAACCTCTTCCGCAAAAATGGCGGCTCCTTAGCATGAGGCTCGGCAATGCTCAACGCTTAGCCTCATTTGCATATTACTCGCACAAGAAGACGCGAGTGTAGACATAGCCTTAAAGTGTATTAGGACCCTGGCCGGCAGGCAACTCAGCTTAGTTCCAGCTCACACAAGGTCCGGGAGCTAAGATTCCATCCTAGACAGGGACTACTGCCACTCTGCACTGCTGCCTCTTTATCAGAAGTAGCAACACAGGGTGACAGGCAGCCAGTCTGCAAGGAGAGCTGTTTTTTAAACTGGCTCCCCTCGCGGACCAGCTCACACCTGGCACCCCATGGTGCTTCCTCTGATACAGAGGCAGCAGCGCACAGTGGCAGGGGGCTCCTCGGGAGTAAGGCCAGAGAGCACTGGCTGCTGGGCCTGCCCTCAGGGACTATAGAATAGTTGACTAACCAATAAGAATTCATGAGGTTACTCAATTATTCAATTAACTGATATTTAACATCCCTATTCCAAGCCTCTACCATTGGCCTGCTGGATGAATTGGGAAAGTCATTTCACCTCTGTGCCTCATTTAGCCCATCTGGAAAATGGGGAGATAATAAAGCACTTTGAAAGCTACTTCTGAAAAGCAATATATAAGTATTATTATCATCAAGCATGTCTAAAAATAGTTATTGATTAACTAGTACAGTAAAGTTTGTTTAAAATAGAGTTTAATTCAGCTGTTGTGCACACAATTGCTCTAAGCATTCTGAACTTTTTCAGTATATTATTTGGCTCAAGTTGATAGACCATATTTCATTTTTTGTTAAATTTACCTTCATGAACTAAGTCTTGTTTGGGGGGAGGGATAGCTTAGTGGTTTGAGCATTGGCCTGCTAAACCCAGAGTTATGAGTTCAATCCTTGTGGAGGCCATTTGGGGCAAAAATTTGTCAGGGATGGTACTTGGTCCTGCTGTGAAGGCAGGGGACTGGACTCAATGACCTTACAAGGTCCCTTCCAGTTCTAGGAGATAGGCAATCTCCATTAATTTATTTTATAAAATAGAAACATTAGGTGAAAATTACCAGTTAGAAACCAAGTGCCTTTATTTCCAAACATAATCTGTTTCAAGAAAGTTCAGTACTCATGCTCCAACAAAATGTGGTTGTACCAGACTGTATAAAGCCCCTTGGGCATATGTATTTTTTTGTAATAGTAGTTTGAGCTTAAATGTTAGAATGTGAAATATTCCTAAGTATGCTATTGTCATGCCCATTGAAGATCTGCAGTAAAGGGATTACATTTATTTTCAACAGGATGATATGGTAGATGATGGCACAATGGATGAATTTGAAAAGCAGAGACCCAGCAGAAAACAGAAAAGCTTAGGACTCTTATGCCAAAAGTTTCTCGCTCGCTACCCCAGTTACCCTTTGTCAGCAGAAAAATCAACCATCTCTTTGGATGAAGTGGCTTCTAGTCTTGGTATGTATGCTTGAAATAAGTGCTGCAAGAACTGGACAACTTCAGTCTTTTAAGATATATTTACCACATAAAGGCACTTAAAGTAGATCCCATTTAAAAGAACTGACCTGTTTACAGAATACATTTGCCTGTTTTTTGCAGGTGCTGGATGTGCCCTTGTTGTTAGATTAAGCAAGAGTTGCAGGTGCTCAGTACTTAAGAATATTTCTATTACTGCATTCTTACATAATACCATTTTTTAAAAAGTTGCAAATCACTCTTTGA